GATTTAGTTAAAATTCGAAGATCAAATAGATCCGATCAGAAAAACAAAGTTATGAGCAAGATTGATTTGGCTTATGAGGGGCCATATATAGTGGCAGCTATACCATTTAATAATGTATATACATTGGCAGATCCTCAAACAAATAAAATAAGAGGAAATTTTAATGCAATACATTTATTAAAGTATTTTAAATAAAAGGAAAAGGGTTAAGTCGCCCTCTCAAATATTAAAGTTTTAAAGAATGTCTGAAAGACATATTAATGTTATGTTAATGTTGATTTTTATTTTAAAGACAAATGTCTTAACCATAATTATAAGAAGCACTGTAAATATTGTAAATATACAAACATTGTTTATTTTAATAAAGATGGGAAATTGGGTCAGGGAGAATGGCTCAATCACATTTATTATGTGAAATATCCCGATCAAAACAATGATCTGTAAGACAAATAACTTTTGTCAAATCATATATGATTATAATAATTAAGAAAGACAGCAGTCACCTGTCCAATAAAAGATGGACAATTTTAACAAAGAACCGAAATGAAAATGGTAACCTATATCACAGTATAAGTGTGATTGAAGGGGAGATGGGGCGGCCATTCCCTTATATTTATTATTATTAAACAGAAAGCCAATATAATTATAAAATGGAAAAATTTTCCATTAATGACATTACTTTGTAAGTCATAAATGTAAAATTTGGGGGTGGATTGTAACGACCTATTAATAATAATAAATATTATTATTAATTAGTCATAATAAAGATCAATTAAGATGAAAATAAAACGTTTAAGAACGTTTAATCACAATAAAAGTTAATAATATATACTTAAATTAAAGAAATATAAGTGTTAGTATGAGAAAATGATATTACCAAAAATTGATTAAAAATAGTTAAAAATCACTTAAAAATACTCAAAAAGGGATATTTATTAAAAATATAGCAAGATACGATCACTATTATGTCCATTAAATACAATTCCATACTTAGTGATTTCTAAGGGAAGTATTATGTACCGTGCGGGGACACATTTGTATGACCGCACATATGTAAGTACAGAGGTCGATCGCGACTCTTAGTACTATAGTCAAAGTACATTGTATGAACGTCCCATACCAATATCATATGGAAGTAAGGTCTAATGGATAAAAGTAATAATATGTGAAGGCTCAGAGAAAAAATAATGAATATATAAATATAATGAAGAGCAATGAATGACTTGGGACTTTATAAGACATATTACTATGGAGTTGCGTGGTACTTCTGTACGACGATATGGTCTACGGTAAACGTGGAACCATGAATGGATATGTCTTCAGTGGTGGACATATCATCGATAGCTGGTGGTAGTTGGCGTCTTAGTGACCACCATCACTATGATACGTTAGCTGTCATTCGGCATAGTAAGAGTTTGGTGGTAGTTGGCGTCTTAGTGTGTTGCACTATGATACGTCGACTGATCATCTGACTTTGGGGAGTCTGGTGGTGGCTTGCGTCTTAGTGTATTCCACTATGATACGTTGGCTATTACTTGACTGGGGTGGGGGTCCGTTGGTGGTTGGCGTCTTAGTGTTTACGCTATGATACGTCGACTATCATTCGGATCGTGACAGAGTATGTTTGGACACTTCGTGTGTTCCGAGTATATTCTAAACTTTGGAGCTGAAGTTGATTGGAGTTGTATTGGTGTGGTGTGAGGGTGTGCCACCTACGCGATAGTCACATTGATGCGTGCGGCTATATGCAGTAATGCGTCTTGTGGTATTTGCGGGGTGATCTGCGCCTAATATCATTGCATCGTATGATTCTGGTTGACGGAGGTTCGAGGTGATGATGTCTGCTGTGTATGCGGATAGGCTGTATGTTGGCGTGTTGACCTGCGATAGTTGTATTGATGCATGTTGCATTTGGTGACATTGCGTCTTGCGACATTTGCTTGGGAGACGACGCTATTCATAATGGCCGAGTCTGCGTCTCGGTTTGATGCACATCTCAGTAGATTTGTCCAAGTCGGGTTCCTGATGACGGAACTGCAGACTGTCTGACCTCTTTATACGTTTTATCATTATTAACGAATCTCAGTAAAGTTCCCACCGTTCGAACGAATAATGGCAACTTGCTGGTGGGTGAGACAAACTTGATCGAAAATACACTATACTCAACGTCAGAGACACTGACAAATAAATATATGTTGCCAATTATAAACCCTTCTGATGGCTAAACATAAAAATCACAACTATGGCTATATCTGACTATTTCAATGGTTGGTGGAGCATATGCGTTTACCTCATGTGGATGGTAGCTGGCGGGAGAAAACCTCTCAAGGCTGCGGCGATGCCGTGCAACGTTTTAACCATACCCTTGGGCTACGCGCTCTGCGACGAAATGTCGTGCTAACCTTTTAATGGTGGTGATGCCAAAACACTAACAATCACGTCTGCAGTCGCGGCGATCTGGCAAAAGTGGTGGCGCTTACGGAGGGCTTATTATATCATAGGGCCAGAGAGCCTGATCTTTAACACATGCCCAAAACCGTATTGACGTACATTCACGAAGACTGGATTTGTCGTCGGCTTGCATGACGTTTACACGCATTGACATGCGCGACTTCGGTCAAAGTTTGTGCTTACGCACTGCCAAGGGGCCAAGCCCTCTTTATGCTGGTAAAACAGCTTTGCAATGGACTTCGGTCCTTTCCCCAACTTTTTGTCCCTCTTCTGGGGGGGGACGCAATATGTTGGTTGGCGCTCACCGCACACGGCGTTGGTGAGTGTTTTCATGGAGCCGTGTGCCTTCCCTACATTTTTTTTAAATGTGGGGGAGCTGTTGACTTGTATCGGGTATGTAAAATTGATGTGAGCCCTTTTCAAGAGAGAAGGGATATTAGTTTAAAATTATATTGTGAGCCCTTTACAAGCGTGAGAGGGAGTATACTATATACTCTGAGCCCGTCTCAAGCGAGTCGGGATTAGTTAATAAGAAAGCAATCTGGCATTATCTCTGGCTTATACCACAACTAGTGAATATTTATCTATCCAAGATCCACCTAAAAGAATCAAGTTACTAAATAAACACAACGTAAATGCGGTCCTACCGAATATGACGATCACAATAATATTTTATACGGCTAATTATTACCTTTAGAAAGATCCTATAGAAAGATCAATAAATTATCCTGGTCACGTAATGATGTTATATGATTTATTCATATAACGGGGAAAAAATATATAAGTTATAATTATATATACACAATAAAGGGGGGGTGCGAGTTACACTATAAAGGTGAAGATTTTCCAACTGTCAAATTGTGTAAGTGCGATCTCCGTCAAAAGTAATTCATATTCATGCTGTTAATGTATGTATGTATATCAAGTGTTGCAAATTTTGTTTGATTTCCCCTTCGACGCGAGGGGGAAAAAACGTTAACGTAATAAATTAAAATTATTAAGTAATTTTTTCGTTCTGTTTTTTGTGACAGGCTGTTATGATTTAAATATTATCTGTAATAGGTATGAAATTTAATCATTAATGAAAATATAAATAAAAAATATGTGTTTATTCATGTACATACGTATTACGTATGTACATGAATACTCTTCATTTGTGGAAAAAGACATTAAATGCGATTAATAACGGTTTAATTAAATAACTATGACTTATAGGTAAATGTCAAAAAGTTTTATTAGTTGTCATCAATGATGTTTTAATAAAAATTGTGCCGCTTTACATTATATGACATTTATATTAATATGACCATCTGTCACTATCACTGTCTATATCATCATAGAAGGTATGATACGGAGAGAGATAGCAGTCTATATAGTTGAAATTTAATTACACCAATTGGCGTAATTTTAGTGCCTTAATTTCGGTGCGCTTATGTAATATGTACTTCTTATTTGTGTAAAAAATATCATTGGTTGCCATGGTAATAAAAATAACGAATATACCTATGATTCCGTTCGCCTGTCCCTTAGATTCTAAAAATTAAAACCTTTTTTTTTTCAGTAACTTGCTTAAATTTTGTCAGCGACGACTATATTCTATCCCTAACCATGTTAACCAAGTTTTATATGTAACTTAACCTTTTAAATCAAATTACTATTAACATAACATAAATTAAAGAATTATTAAGTACTTATTCTAACGGATAGATAACAATAACTTTGATTTAATTATATACTTCGGTTCTTTATAACGATTGCGGAATTACGGGTAGCACTGTCAGACTTTGTCAATCAATTGGAGCTCGAAGCCGTTCACAGAGTAAGACCTGGTGGTGCGTCTTTGTAGAATAATTCCACACTATTCCTTACCAGAAATGCCCCCGAGAAATGTGGTAAGATATGCTTCCGAATCTAAACTTCACAGGCGGCTTATAAACTTTAATTTCTACACAGTCATATCTCACTATTTCGTTGGAATAAAAATTTTATTCCTGTCGTTGAAACTTTATTTTGGTTTAAATTAAAACTATTATAATGTTAACTATTATAAAAGTAAATGATTTAAAATTCTGACAATTATATTCACTTCTCGAAAGAAAGAGTAACATGCTTACACTAAATGAGGGCAAAACAAAATACACGACCATTACATTTTAATCTGTTTACATAATACATTAAGAGCTGTGATAGCTCAGTGTCCGGGCGCTCGCCTTTAATTCAAAATATACTCGAGCAACCTGAGTTCGATCCCCGGTGCCGACACCAATGAAATTTTTAACTTTAAGTGCTGAATTATCACGTGCTTTGCGGTGAAGGAAAACATCGTGAGGAAACCTGCATATTTTCGAAATAATAACAAAAAAATGTATTTCGAAGATATGTGAAGTCCGCCAATCCGCAGTGGGCCACGTGGTGGATGCCCTCTGTATAGAGGAGGCCTTTGCCCAGCTGTGGGACATGTATAGGCTGTTACTTTACTTTACTTTTACATAATACATTCATGTGTTATTATTAACTTAGATTATTAACTTATCACAGTAGAACAGTCGATGGATGTAGGTGACTCGGGATCGTGCATCGTGGCACTCTGTGGACTCAAACAGGCTGAAATGATGCTGGTGATGAAATTTCGTAACTATCAATATCAAAACTTACCACGGTTGCCACGGTGACCTCATATCCGTCAAAGTTGTTGTTGTGGTAACTAAGCGTAAATTTTTTTAATTGTCTAACAGACCAAATAATGGAAAAATTTTGGTACTAAGAAAATTCTGCGAAAATTTAAATTTGCCCATATCTTTTATCGTTTTACCTCAGGATTTCCTTGGATTATACACCAAAGAGGGACTATAGACCTGAGTTTCTAGTATAAATTTCAACTTGCTACGTTTACTTGTTCCTGAGAAAATCGGTGATGATTATTTACTAATTTTATTATGAATTTTTTTTTAATAAAAAAAACGTACCATGTGCGAGACTTGTTTTTTTTTATTTAGAGTTCTTGTATACGGCGTGTTAATGGTGGTTAACAATTTAAAAAAGAATGCCAACCAACAATATTTTTTGTGTTGTTACCGTACTCCCGTACTAAAACCACAGATAGTAAGCACCACCACTTAAAGAAGGGTCGAGATTGTGACCTCACAATAGACGCCCAAACAATTTTATAAGGTTGATAAAGTAGTGTATTAATATTCGCGTAAATGCCAGAAATAGTAACTTAAATCTAATAAGTATCAAGTAAAATTGTATATATGATTGCTGAGACTGAAATAAAACCGAATCATAGTCAATCATGTCACTTCAATTTTGATATGATTTCACAAAACTCTTTTTTTTTATCTTTGAAGACCGCATAAGCTGAGAATGATTCTAGTTTTTGGTACTACGCCAAGACGTGTTTCAAAAGGTTGGCAGTGATTGAGCTAAAGCAGACGCATTGCGATCAATATCAAGCTAGAACAAAGTTTCTAGTTAATGTCCAAATAAAAGGTTCAAGGCTTTTTTTACATCCGCAATTGAAACAGTTCATTTTCTTGTGACTATTGTTATTATTCGATTTAATTTACAATTAGTTTCATGTACATTTTATTACTGCTAATTGACGCAAAAATATATGTTGTTTGCTATTTTGCTTCTGATAACTGCTACCAACAATTGTTATTTACTATGTGACTGCTTTATTCAATAGTTAATGTAAAACAAATAACATCACAGTTCAAGTATAATGAATAGTGCTCAACATGCCTGGAGTCCTCAATCTCCAGTTCCATTTATTGGAGTGCCTTCTTTTCTTGCAGTTCGAGTCTATTTGCAGATTATTTTGAGCCCGCAATGCTTCTAGCCTTTAATGTCTTTGGAGCGACCAGCGGCAGAACAGGACTTTATTTTTCCTCCATTGTCCCCCAATTTTACTGGATTCTTCTTCCGAGCCTAAGCTAACATTGCGGCGATTGTGCGGTAGCGATGGCATATTGCTGATCCTTTCGCTCTGTTTGCTTTACGGTCTGTTTCTCCGTCAGCTGCTGCGGATGGACCCGGATGCAATTGCGTCCTGTCAGTTGCGACGGTCTGTGCATCCATTGTAGAGATTTCAGTTGTCTTCGTGGTTTCTGCGGGCGTTGCGATCAGTCGGTTGTTTAGATTCAGATGGTCTTGCAGGTCTTACAGAACTGGAGATCTTGAAAGTACCATGGCCCCTTTAATACCCAATCCGGCTCCTCGAGGGAGAATGTAAGAAAAAATCTGCATGTGGATCTCAAAAGAACCTCACCGAAGACGTTGTGTTACGTTAACCCATTTGGCGGACAGTATATTCATACGATATAAGACGGACTAATTTAATTTATTAACTTTACAAAAAAATTAAAACAATAAATGTTTACTTGATTCAATTTTACTTGCTTGATATGACTATTTGTACATACCTACGTAAAATTCGACAGTATACGTGAAAATAAATTAAGCTATTCAATTACAAATTATTTCTTTCTCATTGGTTAATAAGTTGATTAATAATAATAATGAGAGTACCTTATTCCCTTAGAAGTGGCGCTTATTTGAAAAATAATGAGATAATGGTGTGGCGCTAGCTATTAAGTAACAACAGTGGTTGTACAATCTGTTCAAGTACCGATCCTTTAAGCTAACAAGACAAGTAGTATAACCGTATCAAAAACTTAATCAATTTTATGCAATTACCTACAACTGCGTATTATTTGAAATTTCGCTTTTTTCGGAAGCACGATAGGTACTCGATGGCGTTGCTACGTTCGCGGGCGGCTACCTGATTGCGCAGCGGCATAGGCTGCTGGACGAACCATCTAGGCAACCTGTTTACTCCCAGGCCGTCGCTCAGCACCGATCGGCGAGTACGTCACGTTCGCGTTCCTCCGAAGAGGCGCGGCCAACTGCGAAGAGGTGCACAGCTACGTGGCCTACCTGCCCATAGTGGGCTACATAATCCTCAGGAACGTGTCTGGCTCGCTGAAAAACACAAAATATTCCACACTTTGTTTACTTTTTTTTAGATATTACGACAATGTGCAAACGATTACTTGGAGTTTGCCCGGCAATGGTGAGGGATTATTTCAGCACGTAATTGTATGAACAGGTTGTTTGACATTATTATCGGTCATTATTGGTCAGTGTATTTGAAGTATCATATTGTCGAACATTGAATTATTACTGTTATGAAATATCAAGTATTGGAGTCTACGTTTACATAAACTTAGTTAATTAACTTTGCATATTTTGCTAGTTTTTACCTACTAAAACATTGTTTCAGTTATCATACGTAATTTATACTCGGTAAAGTGGCCTTTTGTTCAAGTTTAACTGAAAATCTCTGCTCCGCGGCAGTCTGCGGGAGGCCTATGTTCAGCAGTTGACTCAAACAAGCTGAAATGATGATGATTATGATAAACTATAATAATAATTACAATTTATTAAGACGAGAAAATAAAATGCCTCTGTTAAGTGGCACTAGTTAACGACTTCTGGCGCGTTGGGAAAAAATATGAGAGTAAAATTTTTTCGATGCGCGCGCACACCGATTATATGATGAAGTTGGTTGTAAAGCAACCAGCTTTATGCTATTACCATGGCAACCAATAACTTTTTGATATTTATCTATAATTCCAAGTTATTTAGTTAAACCGGTATCATTTGTATTTAATGTCTTTTCACAAACTAAGAGTACTGGCGCAGGGGATAAAATTTTCAGTAATTTATCTTTTGTTACAATTCAGAAGTGTAACTTCTTTGGAGTGTACACATATAATGTTTTTATTTAATTAGTCATTCTTTACACGTAAACAAATGTTCACTTGAGTAAATACAATCCTCATTAGGCAGGTGGTTAAAGAGATCCTAGCTGAAGGTTTTCTGAGGAAGCTGGGGCAACCAACAAAGGTTGATTGATATTTGAACACTAAGAAACGTATTGCCATTTTGCATACCGAAAAACTCTTGCATTATCGTGTACGAACTTGAATTAATGAATCCAGTCAGAAATTTATGTAGCTAATATTAGCTTACCCGCTAGCAGAAAATGTGTTGCATTTAACATTACATAAATACAACAGATATTCTGCTAGCGGATAAGCGGATTTCCTTACGACGTGACATTTTCCTTCACAGCTGAGCACGTGAGCACTTAAAATTGGAATTTACGATTTCATTGATGCCTTCTGCAAAATTTTGAACTCACGTTGCTCGAGAATATTTTTTTTATAATCTGAATAATATTACTGTAGGTATCTAATTATTTTAACTTAGATACTGTGATTTTGAAGATTAATTTGATAATTTGCTACTTGCTGTGACGTTTTTAAAATGCGCAATACACTAGGTACAAAGGTACGTTTAATGGAATAGACGACTACAGATATATTTTTAAATGTTTTGTAAAATTTAAAAAATAATCTAAATATTTTTATGGTGCGACTAAAACAATAAATAATTTTAATTTTTTCAGCATTTTTTTCTACTTGACTATCTTTTTGTTTTCGAATTTTCAAAAGATTTTCAAAAAATATGTTGACACCCGTGTTACTTTATACCCTAAACTTCGCTTTTACTGTTGGAGTTGAGGAAAATAAATTATTTTTGAGCCATTTGTCGTCCATACGTAAGTGAAATAGAATTTTTACGCTTTCATTTCCCGACGGAGGAAAATTAACGACCCTTCCTTTGCCTTTTACGCTTTCGCTTTGTTTTCAATTTATCATACGATTAATTTTTCTCGGCAATTCAACTGCCTCGAATATACACAGTATGAGTTCGTATTCCGAATAAAGATTAAGCTTTTATATTCCAAACAATTTTTGTAAGTACGATTTTTATAAATGACTGCATCTAATATTTTGTGAAAACTTTATTTGATCGTACAGACGGTATATTTTCGGAGAAAAGTTGGCAATTAGTTCACGTGATGTTATGTGATTAAGCCACCCATGGACAGATGTCTTTTACGCGTTTAACGCGTTTATCACATCACATGTTATTGATATAACACCGGAGGTGAGGTAAACGCGTTGACAACCTACAAAAAATGGGCCCCGGTTACATCGCACCCAGACGAAACGTGATTTTTAATGTGAGACGGTGGCAAGCGAGTTGGCGGTTCACCTTATATTAAGTGATAACAGCCGCCCTCCGCCCTTTTGCAAAACTTCTAATTCACACCGGTCTTCTGTGGTATTTCCCCGGATGGGCCTGCCCATTCGTGCTACATCAGAAGTTGTTGCGTGGCCTTAATACAAATAATGCGTCTCAGGCGTGTAACTTTAGATCTTGAGTGATTTCGGACTGGAACACCTACTTTCAGTTTTCACAAATTTTATTTACATGTACCGACTATGTAGACGCCTTTAAACATGCATTTACTTGATTTGCTTAATAGCAATACTAAGCTATGTTGATCTCGATGTTTATAAAATAATGGGCCGTCATACTCATTCATATCAAAATTTTAAAATTTCTACACTAAAACTCTATCTTTATATAGGTAGGAAGGAGGATATCGATTTTATACATTATAAATTTCTAAACTAAATTTGAATAGTTGCCAAGACACTTTTTATCGCTTATTCTTTATTTTAAAATACTGAATAGAATATAGTAGTAGTAAATACAAAGAATGCATTTTTAAACTGTTGCGGTTCAATCAATATGATAATAAACAATTTTAAGTACGAAATGAAGATTCCATAAAACAATTATTACTGTTATTGGCATTAACAACACCTAGCGTTCTCGAATATACTGACCTAATTTTATTAAAATATAAACCTATTTAATGTTCCTTCCTTCTTACGTTTTGGCAATAAAATAAAGTAAAGATTTTACGATTGTTGCATACATAAATTATGCTACTACTATGTATTACGTCAGTACTATTATTTTTTAAAGGCGACGGAGTAAGTTATTGAAATATCAATACTAAAATTATATTTTACGTATGTATAATTGGCTAGAGGCTCAACTAATAATCTACACTTTTTACACCGTTATGCTTCATCAGTTCATACATTATTATCTATGTAAAGAAAATACTTTCGGTTTTTCGTTACATATGTTGTATATTGTAACAGCTACATAATACACAAACGTAATAAGGTAGGATACGACTGTCATCAATCTGTGTCTAGGGAAAATATGTATGAGGTTAATAAAAAACATCATATTATGTGTCTGTGGAATCTGTACAATTATACTTCCTACATTACTTTAATTTTTGCTATTGTTAGGAAATGGAGTAATTTGAACTTAACATTAAAATAAGTAACACGTGTGGAACACGTGTGTAACTTCAATATAAAGTTACCTTTTTAGTAAAAATACATTTCGGTATTTTTATTTTATCACGATTTATTTTTATTTACGCACTGTAGGGTAGTGTTTCATTTTTATGTAAGTGATTGTAATTTTAATGTAATATATTGATTAATAGGTACGTTGTAAGGTGGATGTTTAACAGGGTGCTAACGTAAGGTCTTGTTCGTTAAGTGCACATTTTCATTATTTCAGCCTAATTCTACAATGACAATTGTAACACTCATTGACAATTTTATTGATTTCAGCACCATCTATTCGTTTTTTTCGTCATAAATGACTACTATAACTCGTGGCTTTCAGCATTTATTGAGCTGTGCGCACCATATCTTGTCCTTTAAACGAGCAATTCTTGTATATATATATATATATATATATATATATATATAATCGGAATTTCGGAAACGGCTCGAGCGATTTTCATGAAATTTAGTATGTGCATAGATTCGGGGGCGAAAAATCGATCTAGCTAGGTTTCATTAGTAGAATGTCCTTTCATCCCTGTTTTCAGGGAATGAAAAATATAATTCGAATATGACGGTAAATTTCGCCGCAAGAGAAAATGTCATAATAGCTCGGTCGGTAATCGGGCGGCCCCATAACCGACGGCCGTGGTTCGCGTCCCGATCATATTTACACATTTATTTTTTACTTTTTTTTCGATTCCAGATCATTACTTTCTTTATTTTTAATTTTTTGTAGATTTGTTATTTTGTAATTTCTTTCCCTTTTTTTTAAGTTCTTTCTTTTGTGAAAAACATCAGTTCGTATTTTCTTATTATTACGTCGGTAAAATCCAAAAATATTATCCATATTTCATTACTCAGTAATTTGTTTCTAAATGTAATTTCCAAAATACGCGATTTACCAAAAAAAAAAAACCGAGCAGGGTCCTCCGGGTACTTATATTAATGTATTAAGTTGGTATTATACAAGCCTTGTTTTATTTACAATGAATCGCGATGAAAACATTTAGAAATACTTTTACGTGCAAAAGTTTGCGCGTTTCGAGGCACGCTTACGCCTACGCCTCTCTGTGGTGTTTTGGTGCAACCCGTCCGTTTTAAGGAGTCATCAAAGTATCACTTCATTATTGTTGACTAAATGAAATAGCATTCATTCAGTATTTTTATCACATTTTCGTTTCGCCTGTTTTTCTTGACGCAAGTGAATTTCTAGTTTCATTTAATTATTATTATTTATTTAATTACTTAAAAAAGACTTAAAATCTAAGTTTTTAGCTAAATGTGTTTTTATAGTAAACTGCCAAATTTAAGTAATAATTATAATGGTGAAACTTGCGATTATTAAAGTACATATAACAATAATGAATAATACATTCGTAATTATTATTATCCTGCCTAGATAATTTCTTGTATTTACGCGATTACACATTATAAATGAAACTAATTTTACGGATTTATTGGTGTGTTCACAAACTGCAGACTTGAACTTAATAGATTGAACAAGTCTGCAGTTTGTGAACACACCTTAAATCGGCCCAACCACTACATCAGGTTTGATAGACCACAGTTCCTTGCAAAAGTACACCGATTCCTCCCAAGAATGATTCGCGAGGCTATTGAAATTAAAAAACACTGTAATTTCAATAGAAAAGAGGGTTTGGTGCTACCATAAGCTTGGGATTCTGACATCAATAAAATTAAATCTAGGCCCAAACGAACCACTACTGCAAGACAAGATACAATTAGCTCCCTCTGCATTGATCGGACACAAAATTAATAATTCAAAAACTGACGCTAGCCGGGGTTAACTATGAAAATCAGACATCTAATCCCTCAGTCTGTCCCGTGACCATGAATGCTGTAAAGGGTTTGAAACGTCGGGAATTAAAATTAAAAATAAACGCGAATAAAATTAATCTCATTTATCCTGCCTAGATATTTGAAACTCAGCGGCGGTCATTTGTGCTAAACAAAAACTTATCCCCGCCGCTATAGGTAACTACTGCAACGCAATTAGTATAATGTTAGGGGACAGTTTTTATGTATAGGGTTTTCTTTTCCTCGAGTATGTGTTCCGTGCAGGTATGTCGTTTTGATTTATAAACATCGACTAATTTAGAATTAATTTCTAAAGTAATAAGTTTATAATACATAAATAATATAACATAATATTGTATTACAAATTTTAATTTATATACACAAAGAAAAGAACCTTTATTTATTTTTTTAATTTATACCATATCACGCTCTATTCAAAGGCCACTTATCCAAGTGTAAATTGGTTATTCTTTAGTGCATATCCTGTCTGTGCACAGCACAGTCTGTATTCACATATTATAAAATACGAATAAGATTTATCATCTAGCATTTTAATAAAATGCTGGAATTGAGCTCTTTCTGCACATAATATGTACATATTTCACGCTGGATGGTTTGAACTATTGATCGCAATGGGCTACAACGAACGAAGCGCATTGTTTCGTTATATTATTGAGTTTAATGCTTGTTTTATATATGCTAGTTGAGTTTAAGCCACACTAATATTTAACGAGGAAAATTTCGTAAACTTGTAATTTTACAGATAACAGTACATCCCACTAGTGCGTAATAATGGTG